GCGCAGAAATCACCGTTTGAGCGCCAAAGTAGCAAATGATAGCCGTCTTGCAGCGAGAGCAGTGAATGGGATGACAAAGGAGGCGACGGCGGCAAAATCGATGCTCTCGGACCGCGTCTGCTCTCAATCAGTCATTAGTTTAAAAACGCGTCGCCGGTAAATCCACCGCCGAGGACAGACATCGAATGGAGGCAGGACGTCGGGTTTCTAACGCTCAGGTGTCGGCAGGTTTATTTAAAGAGATGCTGCTTGAAGACGGTAAAACTTCAACCAGATCTGTGAGATAATCCGGTGATTAATTTACTCTGTAAAAACAAACCAACAGTCAAGAAAACAGAAGCGCAGAGATGCCGGCGGATACGTGACGGTGTCATAAATCACAGCCTGAACCGGATCCAAGCTCTGGTCTCAGTTCAATCCAGCTTAAATCAACACGTTTTAAGAGTAATTTCAGCTCGACTGTCGGATTTATTAGCAGAAAATGTGGAAATTTATAAAGATATTTGTAAAGTTTTAGCTTCACTTATTTTTCTTTTTATTCAAACCGCCCTTTAATACATTTATTTTAGATAAAAACCTGAATTTATAACTTATGTCTGCATGTTGTTTTTACAATTTTATCTTAACTGATCACACTGGGTTATAAAAAATACTGTGTTTAGGATTTTTTAACTGATTTAGGACATTTTTGCAGCGATGAATCCAAACATCTGCTTTTCTGCATCAGGTCAGATTTTTATGCAAACTGGATTTTAAAAAATCGGTTTTACCACTAAATCGATTCCATTTCTTGACATTAGCGATTTATTTATTTTAGTATTTCTCATATGAAATCGGATTTTTGAGGAAATTTTTCATTTTCTAATCCTGTTCATGAGCTAAATGATCCACAAGTTGATGTAAACATGTGTAAAGGTAAATACAAGTAAACTGCATGTTTCATCAAATCAAAAATTTGACCTCGTTGAGCAAAACCAATGTGATATTTGGATTCAGCTCATTGCATTTGTCCAAAATCAGCTCAAAAAGCTTCAACACCAAAATGGGAGCAGACCAGTGTGATCAACAGATCATTAGGAACGTACCTGCAGATATCCCTGAACACCTGTTTGCTCATTAAACCCTCACGAGTCTGAACCAAACAAAAGCTGGTTAACCTGTTAAACTCCAAGCAGCAGTTTCTGGGCTTGTCTTTGAAAAATAGCAGAAACTGTTGGTGCATTTGAGTCTTTAGTCGAGTTGTGACGACCATTCAGATAAAATAAAATGGAAAAAAGTTGAATTTGTGTGATTGTTTGGTTTCCAAAAACATTTAAAAATCTGGAACCAACATGTGCAAGAATTTTCCAAGTTCCAGCAGACGCAACCAACACTGGAAACATGCTGACTCTGCATAAACTGATATTTTATTATTTCCTCTTTGCTGTTCAGTTGAAAAATTCCTAATTTCGTGGTGCATGACAGTCGCAGCTGAGTGACTGAAAGTTAAATCAAGGAGTGCTGATTATTTGTTTTTTTTGTTTTTTTAACAGAATCTGGTAAAAACAAAATATTTTTTGGGTGAATTTCTAAACAAAACATGTATAATTCTGGTATTTTGGATAAATATCACGATTATAGGCTTAGATATAGGAACAGGAACGACGAAAAGTTCAGTTTTTACTGCGTCTGTTTCTAATGAATCGTGTAATTTTGGTGATTTTTTCAAACCCAGTGGTGGTTTTTTTGTTTAATCAGTTGATTCCCGTCTAGTTTGGACCAAACTGATGGAAATAAACTAATAAACTGACTTCTGATCCCAGCGTTAACCAGTGAATCCACCAAAACCGTCCAAACATTAAATGAAATCCGGCCCGTGTTCAGTCATCGCTGGATGAAATCTACAAACCGAGTTAATTATCGACATAACGACCGCTTAGCCGAGTGAAACGATGAAAACATCACATCGCTGTGATTTAGTCAGAAGGCGTCGCGGCGCCTTTTGGGGGGTGGAAGCGGCGAGGAAATGATAGTTTGATAGCTCGCATTAACCTTCGAGGGAACCTTACGGGGGAGTGCCGGCGTCGTACGAGTCTGAGCCCAGAACCGTTGTGGGAATATGAGAGGGAGGCGGCCGCAGACGGAGCGAGTGGAATGAAATAACCTCCATTAGCGTGGCCGGGACCGGCGGAGGCTCCGGAATCAGCCCCGGCGAGGAGTGCAAAGTCACGACTTGAAGGATTCAGCAGAACCTCACCTCCGTTAAATGGACCTTGACTTTAATAGCGAGCTGTTCCCGCTCTCATCTCCTATTTTTATTGTTGTGGGGAGTTGTTTACTATGTTGAAAAGCCCATCAGTCGTGGTCCGGCCCGCGTCTCGGCTTCTCGGCTATAACAAAACGCAGGAAAAACAAGCCCTCCTGTCACCACTTGGACTATATGTTTGTCTGGAAATGAACTTTTTTTTTTTTCTTTTCTTGCCGGCTGCACTCGTGTAAACAGAACGGCGGCACTTTCATATAAAGAGAAGCTGATATCCAACTCTGACGGGATAATGTGGAAAGATGAGAGCAAACAAAAAGGGAACAATTCAGCCACTGGTGCAATAAAATAAAATAAAAAAGAAAGCACATATAGGAAGCTGCTGTTTTTCACCTACTGCTCCGGTTTTTTGTTTTTAACGTGTCACTCCGAGCGGGACTTGAAGTGAAGCATTAGAGGTTGTTGTTCTGTTTATCAGACGCTTGTTCGACAACCAGAATGAACCAATTAAAGTCGGTTCCTGACTATGAGAATGCAGCGATTACCCGCGTTCAGATGGAAAAACAAAAATCAGGTGCGAGTCCATTCATATTTTTTTATTTCCGTGCATAACGAGCGCTTTCTGCCGGATAATGAGCCGCATATGAGCCGACTGGTGTAGGTGGCGACGGTGATGTAAGGGCGGAGGGAGGCGGTTGAACCAAAGTGTTCGGTGGATCTCTGAGGTGGCGCCGCCGTGAACTGAAGGGTTCAGAGCAGGAATTATTTAAAGAAATCGAGACAGAAAATCGCACGTCGGTCGCTGCTGTTCACAGATTCACAGTTCGTCTTAATATAATGTCCACACATCATGACTCTATTTCAAAATATGTTGTAAAGGTCATCCAGATTAATTCATTGCTAGTTAGTGTTTCCTTATTAAGACGCAGCAAACTTCAGAATTTATCTCAGAAACCACTAAAGCGAATGCGAACTCTGACTAGACTCACAGTATAAATTAGCAACTTGGAATTGTTGGCTAGTGGCATTGACAAACAATTAGGAATTGCTAGCTTACTGCATTGATAGATAAGTGGGAATTGTTAGCTAACAGCATGGATAAACAATGGGGAATTGTTAACTAAAACTGTGGATAAACAACTTGGAATTGTTAGCTAATAATACAAAAAAAAAGACCAACTGGAAAACATTAGCTTACAGTACATATAAACAATTGAGATTTTTATTTTTATTTTTTAGCTAAAACTATGGCTAAACAACTGGGAATTGTTAGGTAATAGCATGGAAAGACAATTGGGAGTTGTTGGCTACAAAAACAGGACTTGTTAGCTAACAATACAACAACAAAAAAAGACCAACTGAGAAAGGTGAGCTTATAGTACAGATAAACAACTGGGAATTGTTAGCTAACAGTCTGGATAAACAATTAGGAATCGTTTGCGTACTGTATTAATAAACAAGTGTGATTTGTTAGCTAACAGCAAGGATACACAACTGGAATATTTTAGCTAATAGTACAGATAAACCACTGGGAATTGTTAGCGGAAACTATGGCTAAACAACTGGGAACTGTTAGCTAACAGTATGAATAAACAACTGGAATTTGTTAGCTAACAGCAAGGATACACAACTGGACAGATAAACCACTGGGAATTGTTAGCGGAAACTATGGCTAAACAACTGGGAACCGTTGGGGGAGTTTCTAGCTAATAGTGTGGATAAACAAGTGGAAATTGTTAGCTAACGGTGAGGATACAGAACGGTAATATTTTAGCTAACAGTCTGGGTAAACAACTGGGACCTGTTAGCTAACTGTATGGACTTTAAATCGAAACTATAATCCCTACTTTGGCTGTCTGCAATTAAAATTAGAAACTGTTTAAAGTATAGAGTTTAAACTAATGAAGTAGCTCTGACCAAACTGACCAAATAGTTAAATAAGGTTATTAAATAAGTTTAAATTGAGTTCCGATGAGCCCATTTGAAGATGACGGGTGGTGCTGACGAAAAAAAGCCTTTAAATTCCTGAGAAAACATTAATAACCGCAGCGATTAGTGTGAGAGCGTGTCGAGTGAGTTCACAGATACACAAGCAGTGTGTGTTCAGGGTTCGTTAATATGAGTTCACTCTAAATAATTCAGCACAAACTTGGAGGCTTGAATCTATCTAAAAACAGGGAAAAGGTAAACCAATCGGCTTTAAAAGCTGGGGTCTGAGTCGGGGGTTATGCGGGTCACTCTCGAGATCCCCTTCAGCCACTTTAAAGCTTCCTCCAATAGCGGCCACCTGCAGCTCGACGCGCCGCTGAGACGGCATCGAGCGCAGCCATCAAACAGCTATTCATGAGCCGTGAATGGGGAGATGAGCAGCACTTAGCGGCTGAGCGTCCCACGAACACTCGATCAGGTAGCGCCGGCTCAAACCCCGGCGCTTCGACCTCCGAGATCGTTTCCATGTGCGACTTTTGCAATTAGGGGGAATCGGCGCCATCGAAAGCCATCCGGGGAGAGAAAGGAAAAGCAGAGGCGTCTTCACACCTGTCTGGTGATGAATCACAGGGTGGCCTGAGGGGCGTTCGCTTTGCGCACCACTGAGCCCAGAGTGTTGGGCAGCGGAGGGGTTTGGGAAATAATTGAGAAATAGCAGGGGTTAGACAGAGAGGAGGAGGAGGACGAGAAGACAGGAAGGGAAGAAGAAGGCAGACAGACAGACAGACGGATGGAAGGAAGGAGGAGAGAAAATGAAAAAACCACTCACTTGGAGCAGAGCCTTCTTAATTACTCTCCCCACATCCTGCCTCCACTCGGGTATGTCGGGGTTGAACTCGTCCAGATTAGGGGAGAAAGATAAAAGTAGAGATTTGAAGAATTCTGTCGAGGAGAGTCGGGGGAGAATCAGCCATTAATTCACTCGGATCCGAGGGCATTATTCTCGGCGAGACTGTGCCAACTGTCATTTTGCTCAAGTTCAGTTTCAGGTAGTTAACACTTGATGAAAAGAAGAAGGGTTTCTCATATCCCCCGCACTTCCCTTTGGCTAAATGTACCAGATGCACTTCTAGATAATTAGAAAATGTCACAGCTTTATGCCAGCCCATCCTGCGGTAATAAATCATCGCATTTTACAGACACTGCATGCTGGATTACTTCATTTCAAATGAAGACGTATTCTTCAGAGGATGGGATGTGATATATTTTTTTCCTCAAGTAGGTGGCTGCTTTATTTCCGAAGCAATCTGCACAGAAGTGACGGAGAAGCATTTAACTGCTCTCCGTGCGGCACGGTCGGAGCTGCGGTTCTGCGCTTGCTGGGCGGTACCGGACACTGACCTTTGACTGCGATGGTCTTGGTGTCCTGCAGGATGCTGTTGGCTGCAGCCACCTGCACGGTGACGGTGTGCATGCCCTCGCTGTGGAAGGTGTACGAGATGCTCCCGTCCAGCGTGATCACCGGCTGCAAGCACAGATCCCAGGTTATAAGGACATCCATAAACATTTTACGCCTCTTGTGGCACAAGTCGTCGCTGCTTCATCCATCAGGGTTTAAAGGTTGTTTCCAGCATTCTTTCTTACATTTTAAGCCTGTAGATTCAGAATAAATTAGACCATCAAAGACATCACCAGGACCGTTAGGACTGCTTGGATTTTCTTAAAAAGTCTTTTATTGCTCGTTCATTTTCAGCCAAATCAAACCAACTGGCTTCACAGAAATTTGCTATAAATCTACACTGGAGATGAACAACTTTGGGGTTAACTGTGAAAGGAAACTCCAACACCGACTGTGATCCACTCAGGGTAGTAGAACTTAATTGTGAGGCGTTATTTTTGGTAGGTAGCTCACTTTGTTCTCCACTTATTGGTGCGTGAATGAAGTCAGAAACCCCTCTGAAGCATTGGGGGCATTTCACCAGATAGCAGGACTTGATGATAATACTTGGCTGTTATTCAGAACATCCATTTAGTTCACTGCAGCTTTTTTTTTTTTTAAATAACAGCTAAAAGCCATATTACAAGCAATAGAAATGTGCATTAATGGGCCTTGTCCTGCAGTAATTACCTCCGTGTTGTTGCCAAGCCACCAGAAGTACGTGACGGTGCGAGAGTGGCTCGGCAGCACCACCGCCGTGATGTTCACCTCCTTGTTCCTGATGACCACGAAGGGGGCGAGGAGCTGGACGTGCTCCACCGGGCCTGAGGACGAAGCAGAGGCGGCGGTGTTACGTATCGGCACTTCTAATGAGATGCACTCATTCAAACACACACAAAAACAACAAGGAGGCTGCTTTCAGGGAGACAAATACTCCACTTTCATAAGACGGTTAGCTCTGGGTTTTCTCCCAGAGGTGAAATGACAAATCGCCCAGGGGCGTGCACGTGAGCGTGACCGTGCTTCTCTATGCGTTAGCCGTGATAAACCGTCGAGCTGTCGTCTGGTGCATTCTGGGATACCTGGCGCACCCTCCGACTAAGTGAGGAAGAAAAATGGACGGAAGCAAACATTTTGGGGGAACAAATATCATATAAAGTCCCAGAAAAGATTTAGCCGTAGAGAGGAAGCCTCCAGATGTAGCCAAGTGTGCATTAATACCCAGTGATGGATGGGAATTCTAAACTGTAGGAGCTCTCACTCTGTAATGATGCAACTGTATAAAATATGGCTGCGAACTTCTCATTCACTTTGAAAGTTTATCCTCGCTGACATTCGGCGACTCTTCCTGCGTGGCGTCTGAAACGCGATAAGAGGCGACAAAACATACTGTAAATCCAGCCAAAGCTTTAAAGTGATGCAACAAACAGACTCTAAATCATACTGTATGTGTTCTTCCTCAGATGTGCTGCCTCATTTTTTATTTTTTTCTTCACACTAAGTGCAAAGTGAGTCAGGCAGACTTTCCCCAATTAGGCCGTCTGAGGCTGGCGGTGGCAGGTGCACTGAGATGGGCTAATAGGTAAGACGTACACGCCGGGCTGCCTTAACAATGCGCATGCTGTGATGCGGCAGATGAAAGACGGCGTGTTCGTGTGATCTCGGGCTCGGATTCTTCTTTACTTTTGACTCCGTCGAGTTGTGACTGTGAAATTATTATTAACAAGTTAGCTGCGTGTTCCTTTCATGTTAATTTTTCTGCTGTATATTGGGGAGAAAGTCTGACTTTCCTTTGTGCCTGCTGCGCTTTTGAACAAATGACAGCAGTCACTGTGTTCTCTGAGGTGAGGAGAGGGGTTTTTTTTTAATTAAAAAAAAGTACATTTCTGCATGTTTTTGGCTTGATGACCTGTTTTGTTCTATTTCATCAGCACACAACAAAATACCCCATTTTATCTGTATGGGGTCAAAACCTCTGACCGGATCAGTAACCGATAATATGCTAAAATGTTCCATAGAAACAGCAGCTTTGCATAACAATCTTGTTTTGACCTCATGGTCGACCCCGGCTCCTATAAAAACAACACGTATATACCACGTGGTCTCGAGTCTTTCAATCCAGAAGCAGCTGCGAGGTCATCGAGCCCTCCATCGTTGTTTCCGGTTCTCCACACATCTGGCCAGTTCGTTGGTACTTGGAGCTCCTGCATCCTTCTTGAGTACGTCCACGTACGTCAGCGTGGGACGTCCTCGTGACCGATGCCCATGTGTCGGTTCCCACAGCACCGATCTGCTGGCTGGCAGCTCTCGATGCCTTTGAGTCCTGCTGGTCTCCTTGTCCTTGCAGCGATCTTCTCGTTCACCCTTGGTATCCCCTCATACAGGATCCTGTTGGTTGTGCTCTTGCTGATGTCTAGCACCCGTCTAAAGACTTCTGTAGGGTTGGCTTCAAGGTCCAGCATTCACTGCCATAGAGGAGAACCGACTCCACTGTTGCATAGAAGAAGCTGAGTTTGGTTTGGTGGTGGGCGGTTGGTGTTCCATACACTGGTCATGCCGTTCAGGGAGTTGCGAGGAGTTTTTCATAAATGTTGGGTGTAAAAAGTGACTTTTCTGATAAACGTCGTGGATAGACTGTGGTTTTGGTTAATCATTAAAAGGTCACTTCATTTCACTTCATTTACTCAGCCTGACACCAGGCAGGTTCTTGTTGGGTCATTTGTTTTGTTTTATTTTGCCTCGTGCCAACTTAAAACCCTCTGCACCTCCACTTTCCTTTTACTGGCTTCGTAGGAATCTTTGTAGGTCTCTGGTCAGTCATTAAATCGCTAAAACTCGTCGAGCAAACATCCCGTTCTGTCTGGATGATCCAACCTTCGTGGTGTCCAGAGGAGGGCTTGCAGCCACCATTAGAAGAAACAGCGGTTTTCCCGTTGGCTGAGCCGCAATCTCTACGACCGCAGACGGAGAATCAGGTCAGGAGCAAGCTCGCTGTTTTCTTCAACTTTCAAGTAGTTATACGATGTGATTCGCCCCCCGGAGTTGGACTGTCAATGCGATGTTCTACTGTAACGTCCTGAGGTGTCTGAGGGCAAACATTCGAGTAAGTGACCTGAACTGTGCTACGGTTATTATGCACAGGTTTTCCTGCCCTCCACCTGCCCTGCTCGCCAGATTCGACTTCTTCCTTCTCACCAGAATGAAATCCAAGCCAAAGGGTCACCGATACAGTTCAGGGAGATTCGTCCCTTGACGTGTTTACATAACGAGACGTTGGGGAAGCGTAACAAGTGTTGCAGGAGCCCTGGGAGCAGAGCATCGCTGCACAAGGACAATACTTTGACTTCCACCAATTTAAATCAGGTTTGATTTTAACAAGTATCTGAACTTTCTGATCATTACTAACGTTTGTGTTATTTGTTTGTGCAGCATTTGCTTTCCTAGCTGTACCAAAACACACCACACCTCGACTCCAACAGCCTTGACTCTTGTGTAACTCCTAATAAATAGCAATTGGACCTCGACGACATACTCAACTCTGCCCACAAAGCTATACCTGGTTATCTGCAAACAGCCATTAATTCGCATAAAACCTGACATATCCAAATAAATCTGACATGTGTGGAGGATTCACGGGTCTGCAGTCACATTAAATAGACTGTTTTGTTGACTTCCACGAGCGTAAGACGTGTCCGTGATCTTTCCTTCACCTTGTGTTCGGAGCTGCTGAGCAAAAGCTGGTTCGTTGTAACGTCGGAGATGCAAGCAGGTTTATGCGAAGACAAGACACGAGAGAACACTTTGCACAGATGTTATGATGTCTGGTCTGACAGCATAGAGGATAAAGGCCCTCGTGAGTCTGCTGCTGAAAAAAAAAGCCCCATTCCAACAGTGAAAATACGTCGACGCCATCATGTATTTTTGACGTGAAACCTTTCGGGTAATGCAGCAAACCTCCCCCGCTGAGACCCTAATAGGAGCTGACAAGGGTCGGGGTTGCTTTACACTAATCTCGGGGATGAGGTTTCCCGCCGCGGACACATGTAATGCACTACTTTCGCGGAAAACCTCCAGCGAAGGTCTGTGCTGTGGTCCAGGGTGCTCGTCTCGCCGAGGCTTGTGTTAGCGCTCATCCTCTTTAACCAGAACTAATCTTTATCCCCACTTTGAGATGCTCAGCGCGAGCGTTTCTAAGGGCGCGCTCGCACGTTTGTGTACGAGAGCAAAGAGAGTCATCTGGTATTAAAATGTGCTCAGCTGAGAGATCGTCTTTTGGTAGTTTTTTTTGGCATTTCTCCCTGAAAGCATCACCTCTGCTGCTGAAATAAATCCAGCTAAAAACGAGTGTCGAAACGCAGGCTGACGCACCGAAATGCCACGAGGTTAAACTGAAGTGAACTGAATCAGAGAAAGACTAACTAACAAGACAGAGAGACAGTTCAACACCTAATTTAATTAGCTTGTGTAATTCCCATTGAAAGTTAAAATGATACACGGCTTTATTGCTGCAGAGCTGGAAAGCATTAGAGTCCCGTAATTTGTTGTGCGTTGCTGTGGAGAGGCTGCCTCACTTTAAAACAAGTCATTGTTGTGGTGTTGTATCCTCAGATAACTGGCTATTAGCTGCAGTGGCCTTAGAGGAACACTTCTCCGTCTCTGTTTCTGCCCACAGTAAAACCTTGCATAAGCAAGTTTGTTCCCAAAAGTAGTTTGTGTTTATCACAGCTGCTGCGTTACATAATCCTCAGCATAGGTCAGTACAGTTCACTTCAAATCAGTTTAGCATGGATCAACAGTGTGGCTGTCATTCAGTTGAACATATTTTAGCACCTGGAGCTATCTGGAGGTATCAGGAAATACCCGAGCGGGAAGAACACATTGCCGCTGTAGGTTAACTCTGTACCAGGCTGGATCTGGTTTTAAAATTGCAACTGCTGACATTTTTTGAAGGTTGACACATTCACTGAGAGGGCCGTGTGGTACGACTGAAATGGATGAAGCATTCGCTGTGCTTCGTTTCTGTCGCTGAGACGTTGTAAAACAGGCTTTCCACAGCAGGAACCTGCAGGCTGCTTTAACTGTGTGCATGTTTGCTGTGCAAGAACGGCCTCAGCAGAACCTCCTACAGGAACATATTCAGGGAACAATAAGCACCGACGCTGGGGTTTGTACTTCTGAGTTCAGAAAGGGCAACAAGAGTCATGGAAATGCGCCTGGCAGGTCCCTGTAGTGCTGCTAACTTTAAAGCTCCCTGCTAAACAAATGGACATTTGCAGGATTGAATGCCACAGGCAGCTGGAAGTCTTGTTCAAAGCTGGAAAGTAATAATTAAAACTAATCCTTTAACAGACAAGGAACCAAATTTCTGTTGGGAAAACTGGTAGCAGAGTGGCACCAACACTTTGCTGGACTCAAACCAAGAACTGCTGATGTCAAAGGTTGGCAGCAGGATTGTTGTGACCAACAAGACCAACTAAAACCTGAGGCCTATTCCAATTCAGGACCTTGCAGCCTGGACCTTTATGCATCTTCCGACCACAAGAACCAACACTGCAAAACTCTTTCACAGCCTTTTATCAGTGGAGAAGAGGTGCCTACTCCAGGGTGCTTACTTTTGTGCAGCCTCAGAGAGAACAACAACAGCCATAGAAATGTGCTCGATGCCAAGGCTGTTGGAGGGCCGGTTTAGAGCCGGCACCTAATCTTAAAGTAGCTTTTCATTCGCCAAAGAAGCCGATCTCTGCCAGGAAACCTGGCAACAGGCTGGTTTTGTGACAAGACCAACAAAAACATGATGCCGTTTTACACTGCAAGAACTTGCAACCTCAAACTGTGTGCATCTTCTGACCTCAAGATCACTCGTGTAAAACCTCTTCTTGGGTTGATATAAAAGTACCACTTTCAGGTACTTGTGAGCAGCCTCAGAGACGCCAACAAGAGCCATGGAAATGTGCCCAATATGTCCCCTTTAAGACCACTAACGTCAAAGGTCTTGGCTGAAAAAATGGACATTTGCAGGACTGAATGCCACAGTTTGGAGCAGGTAACTAATCTTGAACTGCTAAAACCAGTTTTCCACCAAGAAAAACTGGCTCAAGAGAAGCACTTTGCTGGTCGAGATCCAAGAACCACTTAGAGCAGGATTATTGTGACCAACAAGACCAACGAGAACATGGCGCCGTTTTCCAACTACAGGAACTTGCAGGCTGTTTTAATCTCTACGGTTCAACTGAGTGCAAGAATCGCTCCTGTAAAACTTCTTTCACAGCCATTTTCAGAGTGGAAAAAAAAAAAGTACCTCATCTGGGATAATACACTTGTGAGTGGCCTCGAAAAACTCCTGAGCAGGACTCAACGCTGATTGGTTTTCATCAAAGGGGACAACGAGCGCTACATTTTTCTTGCCTCTCGATGCTGTCGTCCGATAGCAATCTTCTCCTCTCCAACAACAGCAGCATTAAAATCACCATAACAACACAACAAGCCTCCAGAAGTAGAAGGAAAATAGTTGTTTCTATTTTGGTTCACTTGGAGTTAGCGTTGCAGTCCGAGCTGCTGTGATGGAAACCTCACACCTGCCCCGAGCTCCTGCAGTGAAAAGCCCCCTGGTGCTGCTGAGTTATTACTAACAGACTGTTATTTACCCTCCAATTATAACTCTAGTGGACAATTTTGATTACGTGGAAGATTTGTTGCGTTCTGATCCATAAGTGCTGTTCAGTCTGAAACTCGAGACGCTTTTCAGGTGGAACTTTTTACAGAAAACAGCCTAAAACTTAAGAAGTTTGTCTCTTTTATGAACCAGAAGTAAGAGAAGAAACATGCAACAGAATAATAATGCGGTTTATCCATATCCAGACCCGTTGACCTGTATTGAACTGCACAGTTTGATGTAAACAAAGTGGACAAAACAACAGAAACACAATTCAACAGAATAAAGAGCACCGAGTCTGAATATACAGACAGTCTCATCTTAAGTGTTCCATTATGGCGCCTTTTAGAAGTTACAGCACTAAAAGGAAACATAAACACAGTTTAAATGTGTTTATTTGAGCCCTGACTAGCGTCGGCGCATCTTCCTTCAGACGCCGACTAACTGTTGAGACGTTACGGTTTGGCAGCGTTTTGTTCTACAAAATAAAAACGAGGTTGTATGTAGGCTGTGTCAGAATAAAAGCACGTGGGCGATAACCTGCGAGGTGTTTATTTTAAATGTTAACTTGTATTTACTGACGTACGCTCTCGGTGGCATTTAAAAAGCAATCCAGTTATTGAATCTGATGAGCAGCTTCAAAAGGCCTTTGAATAGTTTGACACAATGTTTTTTTTGAGATTATTTTTAAATTAGGTTCAATTATGACTGTTTTGTGTCGTTTTATTACCTTCAGATCAGCTGCCGAGTCTAAATTTACATTTACAGAGAAACTAGTCATTAGGAGCGTCGTGCCTGCAGCCTGAGAGGCAAACGCAGGACAATTAAAGTGTACAAACACTCTGCTGCTGCCGCCGCCCGTTAAATGAACTGATCGGAGCTTATGTAATAACTGAAGGCGACTGTGTCAACAGTTTTATCCAGACTGAAGGAGCAGGACAACTTCCAAGGAAGAAAATTGACCAGAACAACAACAGGGAGGTGGATGAAAGTTGAATTTAAGGAGAACTGGGGTGGAAATTACAAACCCCACAGGCTCTACTTAAATTACTGGAAAGCAGCAGCGTGTGGTTTCTTACATGTGACGTGCAGGAAGAGCGTCGTGCTGTCGTAGCCCAGCGTGTTCTCTGCCAGCGCCGTGACCCGGAATATCCCGGCCGACTTGTAGACGTGCTTGATGCCCTCCTCGGTCCAGCTCAGGTTGGAGTACGACACGGCGGTTCCGTCACCGAAATCCAGCTGGATGTTCGTCCGCAGGGAGTCGCCCTGAAACCCAGAACAGCAGCAGGACGTCAGTCAGCGGACGTTACGCACCGACTCGCTCAGAGAAAGAGTCACGACAGCAGATTTTATACAGTGTGAAGAACAGCGAGGGGCGGGATGACACTGAAATGTGGCCGCGGATACGTTTCCAAACACAAATGGAGCATAAATGAACATCCTGTACTGTTATACATTCAAACTGCAAAAAAATACACTTTATTTAGATGCAATAGCTGCTTGGTTGAGTTAATTGACCCCAAAACTCGTCGGCTGGTTAGAAAAACATGCTACCTTTAAAAAAATAATCTGAACCTGTAAAACATCGAAGGAGCTTGTCTGTGGAGACTCTCAGTCTTCCAGGTTGTGGTTGTTCACGTAGATGAATCGTAGCAGCTGGACATGCTTGAGTTTCTTTCTCATCCAAGAGAGTTCCAACACTTATATTCCTTAGGAGCCATTAACACTTGATGTTGGCTCAAGAGGCTCCTAAAGAACTTCTGGAACTCCCAACGAGTCAGTGAGACCTGATGAAGCCTCTTGGATAAAACGTCTTCAAGAAAATCAAGCAAGTCCAGCTGCTATGACTAAACTACGAGAATATTGAAGGATTTTCAACTTTCCAAAAGTCCTTAAACAAATCGTGCAATTCAATTCAATTTTATTTGTATAGCGCATATTTACAACAACAAGTCATCTCATAGCGCTTCACAAAGGCAGAGACAGAAACACCCAACAATCCAAAACATCTGGATTCCCTATAAGCTTCAGCAGTCCGCAACAGGAAGGAACCAAAAACCCCCACAGGGGAAAAAAAACCTCTGACAGAACCAGGCTCAGGGAGGGACGGCCATCTGCCTCCACCGGTTGGGTGAGAGTGGGATGAATTATACAATTTAGTTTACAGTTGTAATAACTGAGCAGGAAACTCACTCAGACACAAAGCTGACATGTTTGTTTAGCGTCAGATTTGCAGAAAGCATCTTCAATTCAATTCAATTCAATGTGGGAAAATGAAACCGAATCTAAGATTAAAATGGTGATATTTAGTTAAAATCACTCCATTCCATGTCGCATTGAATAATTCACCGAAAATAGACCCCTTTGACCTCAACAGATTCTGTAGAAAACAAACACTCTCCATAAACATTCACGCAACAATTCAGCGACTACTCGGCTGAACTTCAGGCAGTGTTGCCTCAGAAAGACCCCAATATGGAGACGGATTAGAGGAAATCAAACATACTAGATCAATAAAATAGACGCAGCATTGGTCCAAAACAGTAAACAGAGAAGCAAGTTGTTGTAGGACACATTCTGCATGGTGAAACATGGAGGGAGGTTGTCTTCTTTCAGTATTGGTGACACCTGTCAACGCTAAAAAAAACCTGTTTTTGTAAAAGAAACTCAAACTCATTTTTCTTGTTATTCCGTCATTTTAACCGTGTCGTTCTGCAGAACACATTTCTCTCTTCCTTGCAGCCACGGTTGTGCCGTTTCAATAGAGGTGCAGGACTTTATATTGCAGAGAAAAATAAGCCGGAGAAAAAAAAAAATCGCCCAGAAACTGCTGCGAGTTCAGAAGGTTAAAGCCGGTTACAATCTCAATCTGTAGCTGGAATTCAAAGCCGGCGAGCAGACCGCGAGCGGCACTTCTGGAGGCCAGAAGCCTGAGTCCTGCAAGTCCTGCAGCATCAGGGTGCAAACTGCTAAAAGAGACCGTGTTTGAGTTTTAACACTGACCAATGACATCCACTTTAAGAGCAGGAAGCAGGCTGCGGATGAGTCAAGAGAGTCGACTTCCCTCAGGAGGAAACTGTTCTCGACTGGAAGACTGGCGAGGCGCACACTCACTGCATTCCAAAATGTGAATTCGCACAGACAGACGCATGAGTGTGCAGCACTTTAAATACTGCTACACATGTTGGAGGAGCTTTATACAATACCTCTCATCATATCAGTGCAAAGTCAGAGTTACAGCACTCTGGTGGACATCAGGAGTCGTTTACTAACTACAGAGACACGTGTTCCTCAAGAGGAAACCAAACATCATGAAATTTGGGCTCACATTCAGTGTATAAGGTCAGAAACATGATATGTTTTGCCACATCACAGTATCAGACTGGTGTTCACATGCAAAAAAATGAATAAATCTAAAAGCAGATTTAATGATACAAAACTTCCATTAAGAGGCCAGCAGTGTAACTTATACGTGTTTCTAACAATCAGCTGTTTGTCTAATTCAGTACAGACGACTTTAATGGTATTTAAATTCAAATTTAGGATGTATTTTGCCTCAAGCGTCTCTTCTCTCCCTCAAACTGGACCTAAAACATTCAGCGATCAGCTCCAGCATTAAAGCAACCGACAGAACAACAGCGGCCGGCTCATTACGATGCAACGTTCTGCGCTGAAACTTCGGCTCCTGCATTCTTTGTATTCGTCACTTTACCGCCCGCCTAAACATCGCTGCTTTGAAAACACATCAAGAAACATGAAAACAAGCCCAAGGCTTCGTTTCGGCCTCCAAACTCTCCAGTGGAGCGTCTGCAGAATGCAAAACGAGCAAACTCCAACCACAAAGACTCCACAACCTACAGGTTTCACCGCCAACGTCCTGGTGGAGTGTCCGCCGCCCGGCCGGTTGTGTTTTGGTGGCACGAGGGGAACCTACAGCGTCCGAGGCTGGTGGTTTTGGTGTTTTGACTGATTGATGAGCACTTTAGGACGGCTTGTGGTCAATAGAATGAACACGGATGCAACAATTCCAGCTTGAAATATTTTCATCCACCCCAACACTGATTCTGCAACTTTTATAACAAGAAGATGAGTCAAAACATGAACCCAACACGTCCTCTAAAGGCAGCAGATCCCTGAAGCTTCAAAACTAAGACCCACCCCAGCAGGTACCTCAACACCTTTATGGTTTACACCTCAACACCACTGACCAGAAGCTTGCCATGAGACTTAATCGTTCACTCACAACCGTTCAGTCTCTCTTGTTATGGGGCATTATTTGTCCATGCCTATGGAGAATTGTCTGCATGTATCTCAATCCGTTCGTCCGAGGTGAGATTGGTCAGCGTGTAAAAGAAGTTGTCAATGCGAACCGTAATCTACAAAAGTCGTCTCACAATTTGTCTGTAATCAGGTTTTCTTTTTCGTTTTTTTTAAAAGATATTTTTTGGCCTTTTTTTTGGCTTTATTAGGTAGAACAGAGACAGAGACAGGAATGTGGGGCAGAAGAATCGGGGAAGGACTTGCAGCAGAGGGTCATGAGCGGGACTCGAACCCATGACCGGTGCGTTGGGGACTTTAGCCCCGATACATGGGACGTCAGCTCAACCAGGTGAGCTAAAAATGAAAATTCGGACACATAATAAGAGTTGTCAATGCGTACAGTGTCCGAATTTTATAATACAGATGAGGAGATTTTTTACACATTTGAAACCTGATTACAGACAAATTGTGAGACGACTTTTGTAGATTCCGGTTCGCATCGACAGCTTCTCTTACACACTGACAAATCTCACTTCGGATGAACGGATTGAGATACAGACAGACAACTCTCCATACGCATGGACAAATAGTTCTGCTACAGTAATGTCTCCAATACTTGTCGTCTGCAGTTTGACCTGAAAACTCGGTCACGGAGAATCCGCTGCCCTGTGGATCTAGAAATGTTTGGGTTTTTTTTAACAGAATTTGGTGCAAACTTTTTGTTTTATTCGGCAACTAGAGACATGTAGAATACAGTGATTTAAATTTTTAAAAAATCACAATTTTGAGCTCAGATTCGACACTTTCTGGCTCTATTTCTGTGCTTTTTCTAAAAACAACAACATGTTTTTCAAACCCACCGGCAGGTTTTGGACTTCAGAGGGTTAAAATGCAGGTTCGGTTCATTTGAGCATCGATCACAACACGTCCTCAACGCTTCAGAGCAGATACCATCGATTATTGTTTCACCATTTTTAAACTGAATTTTATAAACTTGTTCGATTCCTTTAAACATTCAAATTTCACTCCTTCTTTCAGAATACAGCCTTTTTCCTTTAACCGGCTTTAACACATTAATAGCACACGAGGAGCGAATAAATGCAGGTTTTATAGTCAGTCAGGTTTTTTTTCTCCTTCATTTGAATAATAGACGGGCATTTTCTTGCTCTTTGCAAATGTATGTTCACTTTCATCACAGCGTATAGTTAGACAGCGTAATCACGGTGCTTAGTTATAATTACACAGTTAGATAATTACGGTTCTTTTAATTATTTCTCCAAGAGACTAAGTGTGCTGATCTCTCTCCGTGTCACTGGTTTCTCAAGTTTTGTTTGAATAGTTTAGTGGAGGGAAAAAAAAATCAAAATAATAATAACTCTTTGTTTTCTGCACAAGTTTGAAACGAGAAAAAAAAAAAAAAAAAATCATTATTCTCTCCAAGAAGTCCTCACAGAACCATGATTTGTTGTAAATTAAACTGTGAGCAGAATACTAATGAAACATAGTTTACTGTGTCCTTCACTTCTTAGACAAAGGAGTTAAAAAAATTCATTAAATTACCAAGTTTTAGTCACAATATCTACATTAGTTTGGTTTTCACTGCAACTTATAGTCGCTTTATTATTACATTAGTATAATAACAGAGGCTCACCTCAGTGCTGCAGTACTTTATGTACTTTTTGCAGGGTTTAATCCTTAATATGTAAATTATTCAGGTATAATCCCGCTATGACACTACAGGGTCTAAACGACAGTGTTAGGTTAGTTTCATTTCTATTTTTACTCTATTTTTAGCAGCTTTTAGTCGTTCTGTCTTGACTTCACTGATTTATCTTGTTTGCCGCCTCATTTACTTGTTGAACTTTGTTGACATTTACCTCGTAGGAAAGCACTTCGGAAAAAGAAAAGTGCTGCACAAATAAAACGATAATTATTTGAATCCTTGATCTAATTAGCGTTGGTTTGTGCAGAGCTGCAGGATGTGAACTTGTGACCTGTGTAATATA